GATATGAGCAAATTTAGGTATAGTGGCACAGCAGTCTTGGCCTCCTGTTGGATTTAATAGCCCTTTTTTAATCGTGAGCCAGTTCCCTTGAACAATGTACAATGAATTAGGCTTACTTCACAGGAATTACGAATCTAGGTGGGGAAAAATCTCGTTTTGGCGGTATTGTACGGTGGTTGCCTTATAAGGGTCTCGCGCGCGTCGTGCTGTGTCATTTTGTGATTGGAGCGCGCTTGTGAGGCTACGAAAACTGAAAGCAGCGGAAAAGTGACGCAGGTCAAGGTCTGATTAGTTAAGCCACGAGGACGGATGTGCAAGGGACACGAAGGAAGGTATTGTCCGTTTTTTTCTTTGAATTCCAAAATGCTAATAATACCGAGCTGCGATAATCAACCGTCAGCCTAAAAGGACCAGACAAGTATGGATAACGGACTGAAGTTTGGCAGCCCTAAAGTACCTCGTTATCCTGTGGTATATCGAAGGTAAGATTTGTGTACCAAATTTCCTACGTGTTGAATAGAGGATCGTAAGAAACGCATACTATATTAAGTTCTAACAAAGATCGGTTGGGGCTGGAGGGAAATAACTTCAAAATAATGGTTTATTTGTGGTGGCAGGTAAAGATGGGCAAAGAGAAAGCCCACAACGCACTCATACCAAGTCTTCTGGATCAATCCTGACACGTCTGTCCTTTGAGGCTTTAACGGAAGGGTAGATTCTACTAGTGTCAATACCACTCACGATGGTGGACCTGCCAGGGAAGGCCGTTGTGGGGAAAAAGGATTTGTCACCAGGGTCAAACCTAATACTGTCAACTTGCACGACCAGATTGCTAGGTAGCGCGTCTTTATCGTCAGATGCGTTGGCCATATTGACTAGGACGTCATCTGATTTCACAGGGGTCAGAAAGTAGTTCAGGACGCTTTCTACGTCGTTCATTTCATGCAGAAGAGAAGATGAAATCGGATGTTTGAATTCGCGGATACAGGATGAGAGGAACTAAAATGACAATATGAGGTTCAAAATGCATTTACCAAATACTTTTCCGAATTATCGGAGAACGTGTACGTCTTAGCGGACTCTAAATCCTTGTGAAAGTACTGCATGGTAATAGACGAAAATCGAGAAACTATGTCGGTCGGGGGACAGTATGGTCTCAAGGAAAAACTAAAGCAATGAAGTAACTAGGATATTGCAAACCATCTTTTCAAAACAGTGAGGGGCGAGGCTGTGATCCTGAACATGACTCGCCACCCTTCTCCACCTGGGATGGGGTAGCTTTTGGGGTAAGTGGACGGAGTGCCGAAATGGCCAATTTGGAAGGTCGCGTATAAGGTCAATGCATGTTTAGCACTCCACAGGCCTGAATTATTAAGTACCCTTTTGTAAAGGAAAATTGGATTTTACTGACAACTCTCATAACCGAACGTATGACGGAAAATTAGAAATAAGCAGATTATATGCGGACAAAGTAAATAATTATAATTTGGTAAGCTCCAAAGGAGAAGAGTTAATCAAGGTCTACTAATAGGATTTCAAAGGATCTCATCAGCAAAAGACAAATTTACGAATGCTATTTTTTAGA